CATCTTTATGCACCAAGAGCTTGTAACACTCCAAAGAGAAAGGAAAAATTGAAATAGCATCATATGACGCCTTTAATAAACATTTTTCTGTTGCAACCAGACCAACCTGACTGTATCCTCCATTCATTTGTCACGGCTTGGAGCCTGTCGTGACACTGTGTATATTTTGATTATACGGTGTTGTAAATCAAATACAAACCCCCATTATTTTACTCTCCTCACATTCTTTGTTACCTGCTTCACAGACACATTACTGACTGATAGCTCATTATGGGAGGACTTTGTCTCTCAGGTGTGAATCACTAAAATACTCATGGCCATTGTCTCTCCCTCGCATGAGGGCATTCTATCACAAAACATGTTTTACAAATGTTAAATCAATATATTGTTTTCTGTAAATAAGTGAACAGGATAATTTTCACATTTTGTAGCAAAAACTCTAGTCTACCACATTCTCAAAAGTCTTATGAACAAACGTTCTGTATGTGTTGTATGGCCTTATTTTAGTGACTTAAAAAAATTAGTTTTTCACTAACCATGCATAAACATTGTTTTCTCAAAAACACAAACATGTACTTTCATGCTGCTCACAAATTATTGTAAATTAAATAACGTTTGTGCTGCATACAGTGTTATCAGACTTCAGCCATTAACATTTTTTTAAGATACTGAAAAAAACACAAATGTCAGGGCATGCCAAAACTTCTCCAGGGCCCCAAAACACCCTCAGACCCCAGAGGGTTAAATGGCAAAAACTTTTGCTGTCATTGTTTCAACCTTAATGTAGGTTATGGTCAGTGTTTTACTGATGTAGAATTGTTTACAGTGTGTTTGGGTTCTTACAAGTTTAAGATTTTATATATAATTGTTAATTTAACTTTAATTAAGATACTGCAGTTATTTTCTTAATTTGTCATGACAGATGTTTGCATCATGACAACTTTATAAAAAAAAATGGCCACAATGTTTAAGAGGTTTTAAATAAACAGTAGCACAGTGTAGCATAGTTTGTGATAATGCTTGGTATTTCTTTGGTGCGGTTAAAACCACCACAACAAACCTGTAGCTCTTTTATGAAATAGTAGTAAATCGCATTTTAAATCGCAAATCGCCGTTTTGATCAGAAAAATCACAGTTAGATTTTTTCTCCAAATCGTGCAGCCCTACTAACGGTCTAATCAGATTCAATGATCTATGCTAAGCTGCAGCTAAAAGTGCTACCGCCAGACCGGGAGATCGGCTGAATGGATTCGAAAACGGTAAAACTCAACTGTTTAACGCTAGGGGAGTTGGAAAATGAGCCTATTTTCAAAAATAGTGGAGTGTTCCTTTAAAGCAGTGTTTCAGGCGCTGCTTTGTTTACAGCGGTAACCAACGAAACACTGTTCCAGAAGCGCCTCCTGCTGTCAGAGTGTGAATCTGCGTCTCATTCAGAGCTGCTTCTGCTGTTTGTTCAGGCATGTAGTATAATTTCACAAAGCTAGTCAGAACATTCTGTTTTTGCTTCAAATTGGGTTATTATTAAATCAAATTATGTATATGAAATTATATAACTAAATTATATGAAATGATATAAATGATATGTATATGAATTATATAACTAAAATTAAATAACTGTAATTACAGATTTAGGTTAAATAAAGATGTCAGTCTTTATTTTTCTTCTTTTTAGGAAACAAATCAAAGAAAAAATAAACAAATTCTACTGTTCCTAATATTCTGTATATTGCTCAAAAACAAAATATATTGTGTTCAGCGGAATTTTTTTTTACCCAGTCATTTAAAAATAACACATTTTAGAGTTGTAACGACAATACCGTGATACTGTGAAACCGTGATATTTTTGCTTAAGGTTATCATACCGTAAAAATCTCATACCGGCGCATGCCTAGTTTCACTGGTTGACCTAAAAGGTATTTAAACAACCTCTGAACATTAATTGTGGCATGTAACTCAACCAGTATTTGTGCGATAAATATCTCAGTAATCAGAATTACTACTTACATTTCTCATTTTCAAGTCGCTTATGTGTCTGCTAAATGCATAAACGTAAATGTAATTTCCACCTGGTAAAACAGGCAAAAAACCCTATAAGCTTACACTGAAGGAAGGACCTGAGTCATATCTATAAACCACAATATCATATAGACATGAAAATACACCCTAGCACTAAAAACAACTT